TCGATGGAGCTCCTTATCGATGAACTCTTTCGAAACACCAAAATCCTTCGCCATCATATGCAGGCGAACCTGTACAAAAAATAATATCCCACAGTAAGAAGAGTGAGAAATTCGTGAACAATCTCATGCGGAAGTTGTCAGCCAAGTTCACAGAAGAGATTCCTAGCCGAAATAATGAGCTTACTGTTTTGTATGGAGTAAGGAACTGCTCATAGGCCTTTAGACGCATTGCCCGTGAGTAAAAATTGTAATGTGGCGCGAAGTAACGGTCGAATTTGAGTCGTTCACTTTCTAGCTTTGCAAGTACCACAAATAGCTCGTCATATCGACATCCGTAAAATGCTTCCAAATAATGCTTCACTGCTACCAGCTCGCCATTTTGGCCACCACCAGTTAGCTGAAAAAAAAAATAATCTCAAAAACAGATAAAAACTGGGGGAATCGAGCAGGAAAAATATTATAGAAAATAAAATACTCGTCAATTTGAGGCCCGCTCTAATTCATTCCTGATACATCTCAAAGGGATCAAATTGATGACAGTTTGTCGGCAAACTGATATAGAAATATCAGTTTGCCGACAAACTGTCATCAATTTTTTCAACCATACACTGATATAGAAATGGTTTCCTTTTTTGGAATCTCACAAAAACAAATTTGGAAGCGATTCCAACTTCTTGGCAAACAGAAACAAATCATAGATGGACTGGTTATTCTACTGGCAGAACAGAATCACTGTCTAAAACTTAAACGTGGGCGTTCATGAATTTCACAGGAAGCTTACAGAGGCTATCAGGGGCGACAGGGGATCAAAGCCAGGACAAACACATAAGGTGAATAGCACTGACCTGCTCTTGAATCTCATTGCATTTGATGACTTTTGCACGCAGATCTGGCCGTTCGAGAGCTAAAAATTATTTATTTGTTCACTTTGAATAGAGTGAAACGACTGTTATGAATTTTTTTTCTGAGTTCACTAGGTTCCAAACATCATACTACTGTAGTTGGAATGCATGGATCAGCTGTGACTTACGGTGCGCATATCCAACAGGTGATTTATAAGCAAATTGAAACTCTTCCATATTGTACAACTAGCAACTTTTCTAGCTAGTTTGACCTAGGCTATATCGTTTTTTCAGTTGGCTGCAGATTTTGACGTTTGTTTCATCCCCCCAAGGGCTTATTACTTCAGCGACCCCTCGCGATTGAACGAACACATAAAAC